GTAGTTCAGTAATAAATATTTAATCATATACGATCATTTCATATTTATATTATTTTTTATTTTTATTTTATTATTAATTAAATTATTATATATATAGCATAGAATCATTTAACATCGGTATCAAACTTTGAAATTTGACACTAAATTGTAATCGTTGATTTCCTCTAATCAACGGTTATGATTTACGTCAATCAAACTTATTAATTAAGTATTAATTCACAATAAATGATAACCGTTGATTAACAGAAATCAACGGTTAAGATTTGGTGTCAAATTTCAAAGTTTGACACCAATATCAAAACATCCTATATATATATGAGAAAAATATTTCTGCAGTTAATGCAGATAAGTTATCTTCATTTATTCCCAAAATGACGTCATTTTGGTATTGAAATCTTAAAAAATTATAAATACAAAGACTATTATAAACCTGGAATAAATTAAAATTACAAAAATATCATGATTTTCGCCCCAAAATAACGTCGTATTGGGCTTACTGCAGAAAAAGCGAACGATATATATATATATTATTATAATCCTATATATATATATATATCGTTTTTTCTACAGTCAATATAGATAACTTATCTACATTGAGCCTAAAACGACGTCGTTTTGAGGTGAAAATCAAGGTATTTTTATAATTATAATTTATTTTAGGGTTATAATAATCTTTTTTATTATAATTTTTTAACTCAAAATAACGTCATTTTAGTAGCGAATGTAGATAACTTATCTACATTCACTTCAGAAACAATGTATATTTATATCTTATAAATTTTGATTATGTCATTTATATATATATATATATATATAAATTTTGATTATGTCATTTATGTCTTATATGAAGCAATGTATATTTACAAATATTGTCGGTAGTCCGCTTTTTACAAGGCTATGGTAGTTGAAGACATCAATAAATATTTGTAAGTCACTTTAATATTCAAATCAATTAAAATTTTAACAAGTTAACATTATAAAGTTTAAAAAACATATTTGTAGCTGAACGCACTTTTATAGTTGATAACTGACAAATAAAATTCTTTCTAAATATAAAAGTTAGTCTTTATAATAAGGAAAATCATATTCTCGTTATATAAAATGTATCTCTCATATTACATTCACATAAAAGTATATGTCTCTTTTTAAATTTTTTTGATGAATCTCATTTTTATTTATTTCATAATATAAGATAATTTTTTTCTTATTACATAACATAAGAGAAATAAAATTTTGTTATAAATGCAAAGGTTTTTTTTTCTGAGAAAATTGAATGAAGCATCAAAAGTTGTTGGGGTTGAAGATGCATAACAAGTAGGGTAGGAACGTACTACTGCTGCTATAGTACTTTGTTAGGTGGGGCCAATTTATACGAACATATTGCATATTTAAAAGCGACCCAACATTTGAAAAATAAAAGTATTTTGGAGAGTCACGGGATGGGACTCAACAAGGTGAAGAGAACAAGGCAAGGAACATGTTGAGGCTCTCCCTCCGAAAGTATTTTCGGTCCATTTGGTATATCTACTATTTTCATTAAAAAATTAACACTTGAATTAAATTTTTTTTATCTATTTTTCGCACATACATAGGAGAAAATTTCTCATTTTAAATAGCCAATTGCATCTAGTTAGTCGTGCAATCGAAGTACCGTAAATTTTTCACTTCCTTCGAAACAACAATTTTTTGTTTTCTAAATGATGACATCGAAATTTGAATCTACGGTCTTATATAAATTATCTAAATCTTTTATCACTAGATCAATTTTAGCAGCTTCCGAAATAACTATTATTGATTGCGTTTTGTGTAATTTTATTAGTCATAAACAGGTTTATACTGTTCATTTTTTATTAATACATAAAATAAGAATAAATAACAAAATTTATATAATACTAAGTGAAAAAAATCATATACTAATTATTAGAGAAATACGAAATAATTAATATGTTCTCATCTAATGCCAGGTTTTAGGTTGAAGTGTTATTATGGTATTTAGAGCTTTCGTGACTAAAAATTACAAGTTTGATCTTCACTGTCTTCACTTTTAGGTGAAATTAAAAAAAGTACAAGGTAGACAAAAAAATTGACGTGTGCAACACAAAACAAATAAAAAATAAATTTGTGTCATATCCACGTTTAAGCCCAAAAAAGCTCTTGTATGAGAGAGAGTGTTAGAGAAATACAAAATGATTAATTAAGTCTCACCCAACGCCATAAAATTTTGGGTTGAACTGGTGTTTATTATATGTAAATAACTAATTCAACCTAAAAATTTAAGTTATTGGGTAATATCTTTTTAAAGATTTTATATTATCTTTTAACACACACCCTTACTTAATTCCACTAAAAAGTGAGAGGCGATAATGATTGAACTCGTGATCTGATGATCACTGAAGCTCTAATACCATATAAACACTATTTTAACCTAAAATCTTATAACATTGAATAATAATATATTAATTATTTTATATCTCTCCAACACTAATTTTGTCATGTAATTTAAGAGACAAAACATATTATATGAACAAGCGAGCATTTTTCATGCCTTCTCTCCTCTTTTAAACCAAATAAAGGTTTAGATAATATTAAGAAAAGGGGGCAAATGGGATTAAAGCATGGAAGTTGTGACTGTGAGTAAAGATGAATCTCATCTCATTCTCATCTATCTAACTTCTCTTATGGCACAAGGAGAAAACCGTTAGCTGCGGCGTTGGTAAAAGGATATTTAGGTGCTTTAGTTTATAAATTTTGTTAATGACATGTATTATTTTTTTCATATATCCTTTCAAATATTATTGTAAGAATATTTTTTTTGGATATTATTGCAACTAATAAGTTTTTAATTTAAAAGATTCTAAATAATATGAATGTATTTCGTAAAACATCTAATGAAAAAAAATTTACAATTTTTTTTTGTATATTGCTAGTTATTTTTTTTTTTTTTAAATCTTCTATTCAATCGTAATTGCTATAAGATATTTAATATTTTTTTACAAATTTTTTATACCTAGTATTACTGTTTTGCGAATTATCCTGGAATTGAAAAATAAAAATTATAGAAGATTACTTTTTTAATCATTCAACAGTTTTCAGCTAACCAGTCAACTGTTTTTACGATATAGCTATTGAGTAAATCTGACGTGTGGGGATTAGAAAGAAATAAAAATAGAAAAACAATGAAAGAAAAAGAAGGCTTGTGGTTTGGCTGAAAATCAATGTTGTATCGAAAACAATGACAAAGTAAATGAGAACAGATAAAACCGGAAAGAGGGTGAGAGATTCAATGAGAAAGCCGGACAATTGGTGGTTCTACAACAATCCAACAGCGATGTGTTGTTTGAAAACTTGTAACCCTTCTTTTCTTGCCTTTGATTATAAAATAAGCAAGAACTTGTCAAACAAAAACAATATCTAATCTTTCTAAAAATAACGGGAAAAGTTATGATTACTAATCTTATTACTCTTTTATTTATTTGATTATTATTAAATCAATTTGAAATTTGTGACAGTTATTTTTTAATCGTTAATTTTAAATTGATCTGACGATAAATAAATAAGTAATAAAAATAATAAGGTTAAAATAATAATAAACATAATCATTTCCAAAATTAATATTAAATAAAGAAAAAATGTGTATTCTTTTTTTTTTTTTTGAGTTACCCAACCCTAATTACCTCTTTGAGCCGAGTTGGCTCCCTCCGGTATCCCACAAGCTTCGACTCTTTGAGCCGGCTATGAGACTAATTCGGAGTGCGGGGGTGAGTGATGGCTAAAGGTTCAGCCCCCTCCCCAAGAATGCATTCAGCGGGAATCGAACACATGTCCAACCTCACTAACTCAGCGCCAAGGAACCAACTGAACTGCACCCATTGGGTAATGTATATTCTTTTAAAGAATACAAATTTATATCATTTTAAGATAGATATACACAAAAAGATATAAATTTCACTAAAAATAAATAAAGCTATAAATCCACTTTTTGTAACATTTTTCTTTTAAAATGACCCACGTATATATCTTTTAAAAAGACACACACTTCTTTATGAAACAAAATAAAAAAAGGATAGGATATTGTAACAACTAAGTAGTGTTACTACCAATCAATTTTACCGTTAGATTAATTATGTGGATCTAAGAGTTATATTTATTTTCATCTTTGTATGATTATGATTTTTCATATTTAATACTTTATATTTATTTTTACTTTTGTATAGTTATAATTTTTCATATTTAATGCTTTAACTTTAAATATGAGAAATCATAACCATACAAAGATGAAAATAAATATAACCATTGAATCAACATAATTAATTTAACAGTTAAATTAATTAGTAATAATATTACACTACTTAGTTGTTATAATATCTTTGGCCAAATAAAAATTAACAAACAAATCAATGCAAGCCAAGAATCCACCACCACCGCCTCATCACTTCTTACCTAGGGAGTAGGGACCACTCCAAAATTTTCCAAACTCCAAAATCCACAACTTTTCCGAAAAAAAAGAAAAAAGAAAGTTGAAAATTGTTTAAAAATAATTAAAAAACAACACATGATGTTTCCTAGGCATGTGGGTCCACACCACCGGACTCCACAGCTCATTTAAATTTAGTTAATTGCCAGAAAAGAAAAAATCCTCCATATGCAATAATGGCCAACGGATCTTGCACGCAAAAAAGGAAAATTCAGAAATGACAGACAGAATCAAAGAACTTCAATTCTTACTTTTTTTAAATAGTATTTAATAATTAAACAATTAACTATTATTTATTGCATGCAGCCTTTTACTTTTTTTTCTTTTTTTTTTAGATATTTGGTGGGAAAAAAAAAGAAAAGCAAGAAAAGAACGAGACGTCCGTGAATAGGGTTTGTTTTTTATTTTCCGATTTGCACGCGCCTGTCACCGTCTGGCATTACGAATTAAAGTAGACAAACCCTATCCCACTTTTCCCACTACTATATATACCCTTAGCCCTTTCTCTTTCTTCCCACCCAAACGCTTCTCTTTTTCTCTCTCTTCACTCTCTCAGAGCCCTCAGAATTTTCTTTTCCCACTTGAACAAGTTTCCTTCTCCCCAAACAGCCTTCACGACCACCCCTTTTGATTCTCTTTCTCTTTAGAATGGAGGACTGTAACGATAATGGGAAGCGAGTTCGGGATGACTCGCCCGAGTCCGAGACTCACCTGGTTGACTCTCCCGAGTCCAAGACTCGCCGGGTCGACTCGGTATCTGACTCGGGTGTTAACTCGTCTGTCTCTCAACTCACCCGGGTTGACTCGGGGGAATCGGGTCGTGACTCGTCCCTTGACTCGGCCTGTGTTACCGAGGTGAATCTAGAAGATGACCTTCTTAACATACTCGATGATGCAGCAGATAGCATGCCCGAGCGAAACCCGGCGATTCAGGGTCTGGACTCAGTGATTAAGAGCTTCGAGGAGGAAATACTCGCATCGGGTTCGGACTCGGGTCTAGTGGACCCGGATCCGACAATGGTGCAAATGGATCCGACCCTGGTGCCCGATTCCGGCGAGTTACAGCAGAACCTCGGTTATCTTTTCGAAGCTTCCGACGACGAACTTGGGTTGCCGCCGACGGCGATGCCAGGAGAGAAGGGAATGCCGGAGGACGAGGAACCGGGTCGGGTTGGCCCGGAAGGGGTGGACTTGACCGGGTTCTTGGGGTTTGAAGACGATTTTCCAAACTACGATGCGTTCGGGTTTGGGGGCGGGTTGCTGGAGGAGTGCGACGGCGACAACGGCGGTGCTGGAGGTTTGGTGATGGCGGATGGGTTATTCGATTATTCGGAACCGGCGGCGGATAGTTTGTGGCGGTCGGAGTCATTGCAGGCTATGTAGGAGGTGGTGGTGGTGGTGGCGCGTTTCGGCGCGTGAGATTTTGTGGTAGTGTTGGGTAAATGTTTTGTAGGTGGTGGAAAATGTAAATCTAAGAAAAATTGGGTTAATATATTAAAAAAAACAGGGGCAGGACAGAAAAGTAGATGGTAGATGTGAAAAGTTTTAGGGTTAGGATTTGTTTGTTTATTTTGGTAAAATGATGAATTCAATTGTGAAACAAAATGGACTCCATATGTGCCGTTTTCATTTTGTTTTGTTGCTTCATTTTCTGGCATTGATGTTTCATTGCATATTAATGATGCTTCCGTTGATATTGTTACATGATGTAAGTAAAGTTTTTTTTTTAATATATATTTGTATATTTTATCGCAATTATTTTTCTTATTTTTTCTCTTTATTTTTTTAATTTAAATTTTTTTGAACCGTTTAAAATAATTTTGGTTTATTTTATAATTTTATCAATCAAATTAAACTGGTTTGATTTCAATCTTCTAAATAAAATATAAAGAAATTGTTATACATTTTTACAAATTTGTTCTTTTTAATTATTTTTACTCTAAAATTTTGAGATTTTTTACAATATATAAGTCACTACGTTTTATTTTTTTATTTCAAGTAATAATCATTTTTTTTCATTTTAGTGTGTAAATTTTATATTAAGTATTACGAGCTGACAATTTTAATGTTTCTTATGGATGGTAAAATAAATTATTTCGAAAAACATGAAACCCATAATTCAAATGATGAAACCTATAAATTTATAAAAATTGTAGATTCAATAATCAATATAATACGATATTTTTTTTTATAAAAAATATCAAAATGAGCCTGGATATATATATATCATATCCTAATTATCTATTTCAATTATCCTAATAATATTAAATAACAAGATACTTGGGATAGAATTTTTACCCAACAGCCAGGAAGCTGAATGCTGAATCCTATTATAACTGGGAGATTTACACAAATCCTAGAAGTAACCCTTATAAATAAGATGCTAAAGGCTCCAGGTACACACTTTTTGACCTACTTACTATTGCTGCCCACACGGTGCACACACCCACGTCTCGACCATAAGCTTATTACTTGTGCGCAGTGGTTGAGATACTGGCTTTAAGCCAACTACGGTACATACCTCGAAGGTATCTCTGAGCGTATATCGTTGGGTATAGCAATACGGTCTTCTAGAACCTAATAGAGCCCCTTTGTATAATATAAGAGTATGATATTTTGTGAGAAAAATAAAATAAATTCTTGTGTGAGACATTATAATGCATATATTTCTGCCCAAAATTTAATCGGGGAATTTTTACTTGAATATGTCCTTATTTTTGCTTATAGGAGAAATTTGTGGGGATTACAATTTTCCTCCAAAAATACTACCTAGTGTTTGACAGAGGAGATTTTTTTTCATTCTCAGAAATATGGTGGAAGATTGAATTTTCCAAAAATGTTACAAAGAAATTGTTTGGTAGGTCAAAATTTTCTCAAAAATATTGAATCAAAAGTTTTCGGAAATGGATTCTCTTATGTGAAAAAAAAACATGATATGGTCCTGTGAGAAGATCACAACCATACAAAGGTAAATCAACGGTTATGATTTATAACTACATATTTTAACATTTTTCTCTCTTTCCTCCTTTATTACCATTGATCTACCTTTGTATGGTTATGATTCTCTACATGACATGGTCGTGTGAATTTTTACACGAGAGGATTCGGATCCAAAATTTCCTGATGTTATACTTGGTTATTTAAAAATATTGTTAGAAATGTGTCAAAATTTTCATTTTTTCGCAAATTCAAGAATACCAACCTCTCCATGGAATTTTTGAAGGATAATCTTGCTTAAAATTTGCTCAAAAAATAAAATTCCGAAAAGTCATATTTTCAAAAAATAAAATTCCGAAATGTCATATTTTCAAAAAATAAAATTCCGAAAAGTCATATTTTCAAAAAATAATTCAAAAATCCTCTACCAATTATACATAATTTAAAGGAAATTTTTTAAAAAAAAACTCTGTAACTTTTCTCATAATGATTTATTTCTTTCTAAATTTTTAAATTATTTACCTCTTGATTTAAAGTTTTTTTTATCATTTAGCCTCCTTAGTAAGGGGTAAATGATAAAGAAACTTTAAGTAAAGGAGATAAATGATAAAAAAACCTTTAAATCAAGAATAAGTGATAAAAAAATTTAAATAAGAATATAAATAATTTAAATTTTTTCTAAGGAAAATAAATAATAATTAAAAAAACTCAAAAAAATTTTTATTCCTAGTTTAAATTACCACCTTCAGTTACTTCCGACTAATCAAAACAAAAGTTCTTTACCAAACGGTGAAAACACTCCATATAATAGACAATACGACAAGTTCACTTTGTCTTTTTAGATTTTAAAAAGCTGACAAGGTCGTTTGCTTTAGGCATGTTAATATGAGAGTGGATTTAAAAAAATAATTATATGATCATATTATTTGATTATAATTATTTATTTAAAATATATATATATATATTTATCTCATCATCAATAAATAATTATAATTAAATAATATAATTACATGATCATTATTTCACCTGAAAGAATCCATTCTCTCTTAATATTATTGAGAAAATAATTGATGCTGACCTATTGCCACAAGCTACATTCTTCCCCTAAACTCCTAAAGCCTGGCTTACTTTATTTGGTTGGATTGGAACGTCTCTCATTTCTTCCCTCCGCTTGGACCGCTGCATAGAAATGTGAGAAAATTACACTTATTTATAGTTAAATTAACAGTAATAATTTTATAATTATCTTTTTTAATTTTTTAATTTTTATTATCATTGATGTATTTTTTATATAGCTATGATTTTTTTTTTTTTACATAACCATAGAGGATTTATTCCTTCGTTACATACTCCTTGAAATGTCACTTTTTTCTTTCTTCCAAAAATATAAAAAAAGATATATCTCATTTCTACCATCCGTTGCATACTGCTATCTGATATGAAATGTCAATTATTCTTATCCGAATTTGGTGGTAATGTCACTTCCTTCCCTCCACAAATATGCCAAAAATATAAATATAAATTTAAAAGGGTTATTCCAATATGTAATTATATTAAAAATACAGTAGATCACCCTTATGATACTATTCGGTGAAAAATTTCAAAATAAAAATAATAAAATTAAGAGATAAAAGATTCATTTATACCATTATAAAAAGCGCTCGGAGATTGGAATAAATTGAAAATTAAAACAATCTTGATATTTTACAAAAAAATAAAAAAAGTCTTGATTTGACATAGTAATCGTGATACCCCAGTATCTCATATTGTAAAAGACTATTAGGTGACGTTTGGTTGGCATCTTTATGAAATTTTCCCAGGCATTTAACACAAGGTTTCGAAGAAGCACATGTTTGGTGAAGCTCCTTCACACCAAAAAACTAGACAACTAATTTACAAAAAATAAAAAATAAAAACTAGACAACTAAAATGCATAGGTTTCTGAATTGGAAATGAAAAAGATGACTTTCGGCACTGTTAGAAAACCATTTTGGTAGGTGGATTTTTGAAAAACCATGGATAAGTCACTGTTTGTTGAATTTCTTTGTATACTTTTCCAGTAAAGTTTTTTTCCACCAAACAACTTTTTTTTACATTTTCCTATCTATCTCATTTCCCTACTATTCCAAAAAAATTTCCTGAACCAAACGCTCCATTATAGGCAACCGATTTTATCTACTTAATGTCGTATTTTTTTTTTTAATTTTTTTTTTGTATAACGTATTTTAATGAAACTTAAAGAACTACCATCAAACTAATAAATGAGTATCATATTTTCAATTTGGGGAAATTTAATTAATGTGATAATTTACCTATTCATGTTCATAAATTTTTTTCTTTAAGGACCCATTTGGATGAGTTTTTTTTTTCTTCAAAAACTGTTTTTTTTGTTGAAAAAAAGCACTTTTCGTTTTTAGTTTGTCTGGATGTCTACTTTAAAAAAAGCAGAAGTCACAAAAAAAGTCAAAAATCTACTTTTTTCAGAAGCTAAAAATTTTAACTTCTACAAAAAGCAGAAGTCAAAAGCCAAATAATTTTTTCAAAAAATAAATATTTTTATAAAAATATAAATAACTTTAACTTTTGTAAATAATACTTTTAAGCTAAAGAAGAGATAAAAGTCACTTTTTAAAAAAAACTGAAACAAACAGGCTCTGAGAAGAGTTCGTACAAGTACTTGTAATCTTTTATGCAGAGACATATTTTATATCTACTTTCATTTTACTAGTGGCGGAAAATAAGCATTAAAGTTGAATGTCACTGGGAAAAAAATATTTCCCTGGTGATGTAGAATATTACAGTAGTCTTTTTTTTCTTAGTATTTCACGTTTTTAATTTTCTTCTTAGTTAGTTAATTTTTTCTCATTATTTTTCTTTCATATTCTTCATGTCATTTAAATTTTACTTCTACATTGTTTTTATTTTTTAATCAACTTTTGACCCAACTAATGTAGAATAAAGGTGTTATTGATATTGATTTCACACTTTTATTTTATCAAAATCAACAATTTTCAATTAAATGTTTTTATAACACAAAATTGAATATGGGCTTCTCTCAAATTTATTTTAAATTTTATTTTTGTCTAAAGATTATATTATATTCTAATTTTATTCTAAATATTTAGTTGGAATTACTATTGTGACATTTATGCATTCATAGTCATGTAAGCTGCTCCATCAGCAAATCCTATGAATACTGTAAATAAGAGATTAAATTAATTTGAAGAGATACTCTAAATAATAAGTATGTAATTTTAAGTTCCCGTAGAATGTAAAAAAAAATTAAAATTACAAAGAAGATATGCGTAGAGTAACAAGAGATGAAAGGAACATTGGAATAAATCCGTGTGTATAATAACATAACAGAGATTATGTTATATATAGAATTATTGGGTACACATAACCCGAAATATATGATTTGGGACTAAGCCTATACTACTTCTACTATATGTATATACAATACTCTCCCCTTAAGCTGGAGCATATAAATCATAAGCATCAAACTTATTACGTATATACTTAATTCGAGGACCCCTCAAAGACTTTATAAGTACATCTGCTAATTGATTATTAGAGGATACAAAACTGGTCATAATTTCACTAGCAAGGACCTTCTCTCGAACAAAGTAACAATCTATCTCGATATGCTTGGTTCTTTCATAAAACACTAGATTGGAAGAAATATGTAGTGCTGCTTGGTTATCACAAATGAGAGTTGTCATTCTAGTGTCTCCAAACTTGAGCCCTCTAAGAAGTTGCTTAAGCCAAATAAGCCCGCAAGTAGTA